GGGAAAGCTTCACTCTGTAGAAGTTAGTCCTGCTTTATGTAACACTTCTAAGTGTAGTGATGCGCTTACATTGAATCCCGCCCTCTACCCCCGGCATAGAAGAGAACTGCTTAGGAAAATGCCAGGATCCCTGTTGTGTGAAGAGAGGGCTCCTTCGAGGGGAGGGTGGCTGAGGTTCTGAGGACGAGAGCTTGGGGCCCTTGCTGGGGCCCACGGGCAGGACCCTTCTGTTCTCTCACATCCCCAGGGAAACCTAGAGCCAGACACCTGTGGGTGTGGCCACTGGTTCAAAGCGGCTGTGGGAAGGGGATGGGTGGACTGGAGTATGGAGCTCATTTCAGACACTGCTTTTGCAGCCACAGGGAGTAGGGTTGGAATGGAGGACCATCCTCACAGTGCAGTTTTAAGGACTTTGTTTGCCATAGGGTACGTGCGCTCACCAGAGTGGGGGAGAGAGGCAGTGAGAGGGAAAGTGAGAAATCTCGCCCCAAGGGGGATGGCCAGGCTGCGGTCCTTTTTTCTCCATGCTCCTGGGATTTGGGGTATGCATGCACATGCACCCAGTGCGATTTTCAAGCCATTGGGTCCAGGACTAGTTGGCCAAGTGGGAGTCCAGCGCCTTAACCACTGCACCACCCGCTGGCCGCTAGTGGGGCAGTTTTACAACTCTCTCTGTGGCGGTTCCTATGATAGTGTGGGGTTTTTGGCAGCCCCCCCTTTATTCCAAGGAGTTCCAGTAGGTCACCATATGCCCAAAGGAAACCCCCTCCCCCTCCCCAGTAAAACTTCCTTTCAGGAGAACCAGATGGTCTTGTAAGAGGGGGCAGGGTGGGATTGCTTTGATGTGCAGGGGAGTGGGGGGAAGCCTGTGACAGGATCCTTGCTCTTCTGTTGGCTGGGTCCTCCCAGGCTGACTAGCCAGCTATTACTCTGGTGCCCCTGCCCAGACCCTCAAAGAAGTGACCCACAGGCTTCCTGAGACCTCCATCCGTGGTCAGCTTTTGGAAAGCAGAAGAGCCCAACGCCAGTATACTGTCCTGGTGCCCCCGAAGGCTGGAGCGTTGTAAACTCACCAGCTGAAGAGGGGCGTACAGTCACGCCAGCAGGCTCCGTCTGGGAGGCAGCCGGAGGATTCATCCCACGCGTTGACACCTTAGGAAAGTGCTAAGGAAACAAGTCTGAAAAGGAAGCCTGTACAGTCCCAGCATGGAGCCAGTCTGGGTTATGTCCCCACTGATTTTTGTTACAAAATAAAAATGGATGAATGGACAAACCATATATTTTATCCTTATTTAGAAAATCAAAGCAGTGCAAAAACACCGGGAAATAATTCTCAGGCCGTTTTATCTTCCTGAGTGTGAGAAGAGAAATTTAACCCCCGTTCACTTTATGGCCAAGGCCTTTTATACTACGTGCTGTTTGTGTATTCATGGGAATAACTTGGGACCAGGTGTGTGTGGGGAGGGGGTGACGGGGAGGGGGGAAGAGGTGTCCTAAGTGACTGCAGGCAAGCAAGTGGTTAAGTTGCTGGGTGCTACTAGGAAGTCACTATCTCGAATTCTTGTCAGTTTTGAGGCTGTTTGCTCTGTCACTGTTTTCCCAATCAACAGGAATAAAAACTGAGCAATATGTATGACAGGAAAAACACTGCTTGGCTGAAAGATAAACATTGTCACAACGTTGGCGACGTTCCCCCTTGCCTTTGTGTTGGGGATCAAGGCAAAGCGATTTCTGCCGCTAGGTGGCAGGCCACACTTCAGAAACCACCCCCAGTGCTGGAGGGAGGGGTCAAGATTTTTCCTGGATTTAAGTTGTTAAAAGAGAGAAAAAGAACAAGTCTGCCACCACCAGAGAGAGCCTTCTGCGAGACGTGCTCAGGGCTATGAAAATTGGAGACCCATCCAGACAGTCCCTCATAATCTCTGCAGAAAGGACTCTGACGTCCAAGAGGACATTGGAGCAAAAACTACAGAGACAGTGGACCGAAGCGGAGAGTGGCTGCAGCGCCAAGGACAAGAGCAGCTTCTCCCTTCAGAGCCTGCGGAAAGCAGCTCTGAGGAAATGCTGATGGTCGTCCTCAGGGGCCAGAACTCACGCTGGGAGTGTTGGGAGTGCGGCAGGGCAGGGACAGCTGGAACCATCCTGTCCCCATTCCTAGCCCCAGATGCTAGCTCCTGGTTAGAATTTTGGTCATGAAGGCCCAGAAGATAAAACAGACCTCTGGAGACCAGTGAGCTCACCTAGGACCTTCCACCCTTACCCCTGGGTTAACAGCAATACAAGATGTCACCCCCATCCAAGCCCAGCTGCATTGAGCTCCATTTTAGCTGTTCTGCCATCAAGACCCCAGGAATGGCACTCCACCCAACCAGGGACAGCTCCCCATCCAAGGGTCCAGGATGCACCAGGTCCACTGAAGGCTCTGGGGCTCCCCTCTTGGCCAAGCTGCCTCTTCCCTCAGGAGTAGCCCTCACTTGGGCTCACCTTTGTTCTTTAAAAAAAAACTTTCACGTTGCTGCTTCTAAACGCTGAGGTACTTTGTTTCCTCTGTTTTCATGAGTGATTGCACAAAAACAACTAGAAGTCACAATTAATGGAGGAGCAGCTTGATTGCTCTGGATGACTTAGAGTCTCCGAACTAGAACCATGTCTCGTTGAGCGGCGAAAGTTCTCACTGAAAGCTTCAGAAAGAGTAAGTATGATGGACCATCGGAGCGTATTATGGATGGATCCGTTCTTTATGCTCTGTATTCGTCTTCCCAGTCACTTTGTAGGGAAGAGCTACTTGTTTCAGCCAGTCCCTTACTAAAGCTGCTGCTTCCTTGAAATGCAAAAGGCAACAAAAGGTTGTGGGGCAGGGAGACCCAGGCTGCAGCAGACTGGCTTGGCAGCCCCCCTTTCACCTCTTGAGTTGGGACAGGAAGTGCATACTGGCTGCAGGCCTGCAAGTAGCTCTTGATTGGCTGGGACTCCCATGTCTAAAGGAATTTTTTTTCCCCTGGGTTCCAAGACCCTATGGCCTACTGTATCCCAGATCTAGCCCAGGTGGGTGACTTGTGTGAGACATGAGCACCGAGGGATCGAGACTTGAGGCTCTCTGCCTACTTCAGTCTGCACAGTGGCATAGAGGCCTGGGAACACAGGTGTGCATGGGTTGGCATTTGATTTTTTATAGAAATCCAACAGTCCCTCAGTACCAGTTCCACCCAGACCTGTTAACACATTTCCTGGCTTGGGAAGTATTCCAAAATACCACCAGTGAGATACATGCCTCGGAAAATGACCGTACGCATACCTCCCTTGCGTCGCGCTTTGCGTCAGATTTTCCCCAGTAGGAAGTCCCAGCCATGGGGCAGACGCATCCGA